GGGGGGGGGTTGAGATGGCTCAGCAGGTAAAGGTGTCTGCCACCAAGCCTGATGACCTAAGTTCAAGCCCGGGGCCCACATGGTGGAAGGGAGAACTGACTCCCGCAAGCTGTCCTCCGACCTCCATTCATGTGCCGTGGCATTTTCATGTCCTCCCACACACAAATAAAATTAAATGCAATAAAAATTAAAGCATGAAGAAACATGAACTAAAGCCAGAGAGAGAAATTTCCCAGAAACTAGCTGCACTGTGCCAAGTAAAGAAAGATGCCCCACAAAACTTGAAGCCCTGGGGAAATACAAACAAAAACCGATGGACTGTAACTCTCACAGAGAGTAGACTGTCGGAGCAACCAGAAAAAAGAAAAAGATTTTCCCGCCTTGTCACATCTGGTCCACAGCAAATTTGCCAATTCCGCCTGTGTCTGAATCCTGTCAGTACGACCAGGTGACAAGTGAGAAATGGAGCTGGCCTGAGGACGTTTGGTGGCTATGAGGCTCACAGCGGGCTTCTGAGTTGGGAACCTGGAACTTTAGGGACAGAAGGTGAGCTTTGGTGTCATGGGAACACAGTGAATGCCTTGAAGACAGAACACTTTCCAGTTCTGGTGGCTGTCCGCAGCTAACGTCTCAGCTGTCTGTAGTTGGTCCTTCCTTTCCAGTGTGCTTAGCAGGGATGTGACGTATGCATTAACCATTTTGCAAATCCATCCCTTCCAACTCACTCGGTACACAAGTTCATCAAAACCTAGCCAACACATAAAATGGGGCCAGTGGCAGCAAGGTACCAATTGCTGGTTTACCCAGGCTCCTTGCCCAGGCTGCAGCCCAAGCCCCCTCAAGAATGCACTGGCAGCCCTAGCCAACCAGCGTAGAGAGAAGCCAACAGAATGAGGGAACGAGAGCCATCCACTATCACAGTGGAAAGCTCCTTTCCCTGCCCGCCTCAGCTCTAGCCACCTCTGTCCTGTTTCTGCCACGAGCCTAACCCAAGCTGGCCTTCAGCACAAACCCCACCCTCCTACCAGAGCCTCTCCTGAGAGCTTGGGGCCTCAGCATGCCCATCAGCTCATCCGCAGCTGCCCCTGACAGAATGCGCTTCTAGGGCTAAGTATGGGACACCTCTGTTGGCTGCGCCTGTGAAGAGACAGAAAATAAGGCGAAGAATGGAATGAAAGCGTTTGCTTCGGGTGCTGAGGGGAAGTACTGTAGACCGACTGTAGACCGGGTGGCTTCCATGACAGACATTTACTTACTTGCAAATACAGGGGCCAGAAGTCCAAGAACACCAAGTTAGTGCCTTCCTCTTCCTTCTTTTTGAGACAGGGTCTCACTGTGTATCCATGGCTGGCCTGGGACTCCCAATGTAGACCAGGCTGCCCTTAAACTCACAGACATCCTGTCAAGGGCTGGGATTAAAGGGGCATGCCACCATGCCTGGCTCTTCTGTTGTGATGGAATATCCTTTATTTATTCTTTGACATACACATGAAAGTTAGTTTCTTCTGAGGCCTCTCTCTTAGAAGTGACTGTGCTCGGGGGCTGGAGAGAAGACTCGGCGGTTAGGAGCACTGGCTGCTCTTCCAGGGATCTTGAGTTCAGTTCCCAGCACCCACATGGTGCTCACAACCATCTGTAATGAGATCTGGTGCCCTCTTCTGGTGTGCAGGCATACATGCGGGCAGAACACTGTATACATAATTAACAAATAAGTAAATCTTAAAAAAGAAAAGAAATGCCTGTGTCTTCCCGAGTCTTCACACGGTTCCCTCTGGGCATCTCCGAGTCCCCATCTTCTTACCATAGAAGGGACCCCCGTCACACAACTGGATGAGGGCCCACCCTAGGGAACCCACGTCTACCTTATCAGCTTCTTTAAGGCCCCCAGTTTCAAATAAAGTCACTGAAGGTTAGGTCTTCAACATGAATGAGGGAGGGACACAGTCCAGCTTATAAAATAGGACGACCGAGGAAGGACTGGAGGAGGTAATTGTCCTGTGAGCTAAAATGGTCACCGGCATTTCAGAAGACGACAGCTGAGCTGAGCCGCCAACGCTGAGGTGGGCCGCGAGACCACTGGGCTGAGCAGGACGACAGGACAGAAGACAGGCACTGGATGACTTCTCGTCTCTCTCCGGATGACCTTCCTGCCGTGTTTGACGGGGTGGCCCCGCTCCTACGTTGGAGCTTCTTGACACACTGGAGTTGGTAGAATCCGAGGCAATCCGCCCCCACAGGCTCAGTGTTTGGCTTTCCCACCTTGGCCCTGCCAGACGGCAGGCAGGTGGTATCCGGGAGGTGCCCGTGAGGTGTTAACCTGGGGACCTTCTCTGCCTCTGGATGAGAAGGGTGGAGAGAGATGGTCTGAGATGAAGATGGAGCATAGGGCATGGCAGGAGGATGAGGGTGACCAGAACGGAGTATGATGACCCCCACACACACGATAAAAACAGCGAAAACCGTCACTTTGGGGCCAGATGGTTAAGGGTGCTTTCCCCCAAGCCTGAAAACCTGAGTTGGATCCCAGGCCCTCACATGGTGGAAGGGGAGAACCATCTCCAACGGTGGTCCTCTGACCGCCATACACAGGCGGTGTGTACATGACATGACATGACACATGTACACAGACTCACACATGTACCATACACTCAGTTACATACACAGTAATAAATAAATAAATAATAAAAAGTGTTTTTTAAAATAAACCAGTTTCTTTGTACCCTAAGTTAAAATTTTAATTTAAAAATTAAAATAAAAAACAAGGAAGCTTGGTGAAACTTGGGAAACTGAGGCAGGAGCATTGTGAGTTTGAACTAAGCTTAGGCTACCTATCGAGATCCTACTGAAGAAAAAGAAGAAGAAAGGAGAAGAGGAGGGAAAGAGAGAAGGAGAAAGAGGAAGGGGAGAAGGGAAAAAACGGGAGAGGGAGGAGGAAGGGGAGGAGGAGGGAATAGGGAGGAGGAGGGAGAGGAAGGATGGAGGGGGAAGGGAGAGGGGGAGAAAGGGGAGAGGGAGGAGGAAGGCTTTGATGGAGGAAGGACTGACACCCAGGTGGAGTCCTGGATTCTTGAAATATCCAATCTCATGTCTGCATTTGGACTGTGCATCCCACTCTTGACCAGCCCACCTGGGACCCTTTTTAACTCTGCCTTTCTAAAGCTTAGACTAGCTAAAGCTGGCTTCTGTCCCGGGCTACAAAGGCATTCTAATTAAGGCAGGGCATAGGCTCCCCAGCAGACTGGCTTGTGGAGAGGACTGTGTGTGCCAGGTCAGGCTTGAGCCAGAAAGCACTGGTTGCCATGCCTGTTACCATGACTACATGACTCATGTTCCAGAATTTCCCTATGAAGTCCAAACCAGTCAGACAACTTCCCTTGGGAGAGTCTTTTCTGGGAGCTCGCTGTTGGGGTGCACCTTCCAGGGAGCCACTGCACTGGGACTTGTGATTGCATGGACCCTCCACTTTCTTCCCTGACCCTTTCCCATCAGATCTCCCTGCCACATTGCTGAAGACCCTGGAATGTTGTCACACTTCCTGCCTGCCCCTTAGCACATTCTGTCCCTTTCTCAACTCCCCAGGCACCCTCTTCTTACCCCCCAGGAGCACACAGGCCTGCTTAGTAAGTTCCTCCCAAACTAAAAACTGACCGTCAAGGGATAACACGGAGTAGTGGCTTATACCTCTAATCCCATCATCTGGGAGACTGCAGCAGGAGGATTGATGTGAGTTTGAGGCTAGCCTGGATTACATAGTGAGTTTCAGGACAGACCATCAACAGCCTCTCCCAGTGCGAGCTTTGTTTGAGCTTTTTGCACAGAGCAAGCAGAGAAGGGGGTCAGCTGGTGGGTGTGTGTACATGTGACCTACTGATAAGAATAATTTCCTGGCACAAAATTGCTCACACTGCAAACAGAACCGTGGGCTTGCCAGGGCTGTGCCAGGGCTGTGCCAGGGCTGTGCCAGGGCTGTGCCAGGGCTGTGGCAGGGCGTAGAGAACAAGACAGACAGGCTACAGCTCTTCATGTCGGCAACCCACTGTGTATATCATCAATGCTTTTCCTGGCCAGCAACCATCAAAATCTTTGCAGTGAGTTGGGGGAGAACTGAATTGTGCAGAGACCCCGAGAACATGGAGAATCTTCCCCTCTGTATTTCTAGTTATTTGTTTGAGGCAGGGTCTCACGTAGCTGGGGCTGGTTGTGAACAACATACAGACTCAAGAATGACTTGATTCCTCTAACTCTACCTCTTGAAACAGGACTACAGGCATGTGCCACCAAGGCCAGTTTTCTGGCCATCTGTCTTCTTTCCTTTTTTCCTGTGGTTTCATATGGGTGGGGGCAGCGGTGCATCTGTGTGCGTGCTTAGAAGGCACCTGTGTGCACTTAGAAGGCGAGAGGAAGACGCCATGAGCCCCGCTCCATCACTCTCCACCACGTTCCTTTGGGGCAGGGTCTGCCACTGAACGTGGAGCTAGGCTGGGGACCAGCAAGCCCAAATGATTCTGCCACCTTTGCCCTTCAAAAGAACTGAAGTTACAGGTGTGCATGACCACACCTGGCTTTTTATGTGGGCACTAAGATCTGAGGAGACTTGCTCAGCAAGTGCTCTTACCCACTGAGCCAACTTCTTAGCCCTCTCTGCACTTAAAAAAAAAAAAAGATTTATTTATTTTCCTCTTATATGTATATGTGAATGTCTGCATGTATACATCTGCACCACATGTGTGCCTGAGGCCCACAGAGGCCCGAAGAGGTCATTGAATCCCCTGGAGCTGGAGTAACTGGGAGCCGACAAGTTGGTGCTGGGAACTGAACTTGGGTTCTTTGAAAGTGCAGCCAGCGCCTCTCCAGCCCCTCTCTGTACTTTTGAAGGGCCTGTCATAGGCTGGGAAACCACAAGGGTAGGAATCCAGGTTGCAAACTTCTCAGGGAATCCAAAAAGTACAGTCTGGCCTGGCTATTTACTATAAGGTGTGGCAGTCTAGTAACATGAGTATGCCGGAATGCTAGGCCATGCCTTTAGCTCAGGCAGCAAACTGTGGTTGGGAGATTTCAAAAGAGGCTACTTCCTCTAAGCTAACTGTAACTCAAAGTTCTCCAAAAACCTTGTGACCACTGGCAGCAATGATATTCACAGTCATGAAGACCCCAGAGCTGCTTGCCCATGCTCTCAACAAGAATGAATGCCAAGCCAGGCATGGTGGTGCACGCCTTCAATCCCAGCACTTGAGAGGCAAAGGCAGGTGGAGCTCTGTGAGTTCTAGGCTCGCCAAAGCTACATAGTGAGATCTTGTCTCAAAAAGACAGGGAGAAGGGTGTGTCGAGAGGCCTGGAATAGGGAAGGAAGGAACTCACGTTGTTCTTTACCTAGCACGGAACTGAGTGGTGGAGGAAATCAGGCCATGAAAAGTGCAATCTACGTTTATGGCGACGAGAATGAGAATTACGGCACTGACGTTCACAAAGGCCAGGCCATCCTGGATGCAAATGAAAGGTCAGGGCTAGCCAAGTGATTTCTGGCTATGCGTGCACAAAATCAGGAAAGAGCGTTGAAGCGATCGATCGATGCGGTCTTCCAGGAAGCAAAGAGAAACCTGCAAGGGAGATAAACGACTTCAACTCTGACACTACTATTACTCAGTGCTCAATCTGCCTTCGTGGCCAGTTCATTCATTCATTACCATGTCATTATTCATAATCCGGGCTACCGCCCTCCAGACACTCAGTAGAAGCAGATAA